AGGTGGGGTGGGATGGGATGAGATGGGATGGGATGGGATGAGATGGGATGGGATGAGGTGGGGTGGGATGGGATGAGATGGGATGGGATGGGATGGAGTAGGGTGGGGTAGGATGGGATGGGATATGTAAGACAAGCACCTGTAGATGCTGAGAGACACAAAGAACCACAGTACTGTGGGTCACAGGAAAAATGTTAGCTATTTTTGTTAAGTAATGGAAAGTTACTAGCGGGTGACAAAATCTGACATGCATTACATAATCAATTCTAGTTTTTTTGTTTGTTTGTTTGTTTTTTAAAACTATCTAAGAAAAATAAGGGCACATCAGTGGTAGTGCATGCCTGGAACCACAGCTACTTTAATGGCTAAGGCAAGAGGATTCCAAATTTGAGGCCAGCCTGGGGCAACTTAGAGGGATCCTGTTTCAAAACAAAAAGGCCTCGGGATGCCAAGTGGTTGAGTGCTTGTTTAACACATGTGAGGCAGGTTCACCCCCCTGACACAGAGTGGGAGACTTACACAAAGCAGAGCTGAACCAGAATGGTGGCAGGGGAGGGGAAAGGAAGGTTAATAAAAGATTACACTGTAAGTTTCTTTGCTCGTAATTTTTGCCAGAAAAAGAAAAAGTAATAGAAGAAACAGAAAATTAGAGTTGATTTATTTCCATATTATCCTTAGGATTTAAAAATAAAAATCCATTTTATTAGCTTTCATTTGCTTGTTTTCTATGCCTTTCACTTTAAAAATAAAGAATGTGTGATGCTGTACTTTCTTGGTCAGTAAGAAGGCTCAAAAATAAGATCTGGCTCAAAAGACAGAGTAGTAGCCTGTTAAGGGGACCCTACTTTCCAAGTTACCTTTATCCCCACCACAGGGTGAGCTTCAATCTACTCAGATCTCAATTCTAGTGTTGCTATGTCTAGGCCTTAAAGCTTTCAGCCTTAAAATGCTGATTACAAGAACCTCGGTGAGACTAGTACAAGCCAGTGCTCCCAAGTCAGTTTTTCTCTATGCTTGACCTATGAGATTTTAAGACATGAAAAATATTATATTTGCCCTATGTTCCACAGAGACCAAATGTGTAGCAGTGACATGTGCCATCAATTTTATCTTTGATAAAACCCTAAGAGACATGAGACTGGGCAGAAATATTATACTAGAAGACACCTTTGCTCTCTCAGATCCGTAACCTAGTTTTTTTTTTTTTTTTTTTTCAAAACTGATGTATGGCTACAACCAAAACCAAAGCATCCCTCCAAAGCAAGATACCTGAGAGGACAGAGCACACATGAATGACTATTAGGTATGCTGAATGGAAACAGGAGATACCCCGGCTTTAGCTTGGGGATAAACTCGAAGATTTCTGGACTGATTTTAAATCCTATAAAATCCCACTGGAGTCATCACTCTCATTGCTGTCTCGTGGAGTCATTGATGAGTTTATAAAGGTCTGCACTCCAGCGGCAAGGCCTCAGCACGGGGCTTTTGCAAATGTGCAGATTTGTGCGATCGCGCAATACCCGAGCCACTGCCAGGCCAACGCATCCGAACACCAGGTACGTAATAACGACAGAAGTGCTCTCACTTTTGATTTCTTACAATGAGTAAAATGGTCTAGCAAAACCATGACTGTGATACCCACAGGAATGCATATGAAAAGGATACACATCGAAAACAACCTCCTATTCCAAACTCAACACTAAGATTACAATTCATGATTGGGAGGGGATAAATTCCATCTCATTTGACCGTTTTTTAAATGTGAGAAAATTCTGAAATGACTAGATGTCAGATTTACAGTATTTCCAGTTGATGCAAGTTCTTCTTGCAAACAGTTGTTCTTTCTTCCACTAACACTCAGGAACACTGATTCTTTCACCCTGGGGTTGAAAATGCAAGTTTAACATCATAAAACTTTCTTAGCGTAAATTTAATCTATAATTTAATTCATATAAAATATTGTCACCAATAATATTGCAGCATCATGGTCAGCTCCTGTTGCCTTACTGTGTACATTAGCCTCAAATGTCATTTTCTGAGTCCAAGAATACTCTAAATGTCATCTATCCTTGATGGAACACATTAGATCAACCACATTTACAGCTAAACTTTATTTTTAGTGAGATCAGAGTCACTGATAAAAATCATCATATTGATCAATGCAGAATCAGTCACTATTTATCCTAAGGGATGAGTTATAAAACACAGTGTTAATCCACAGTTTAAAAAGAACAAAGCTAGCAAAGAATTATTGAACAGATCTTCCAATGAGTTTTGCTGAGGTGCAGAGACATACACGTGTGTGTGCGTGTGTGCGTGTGTGTGTGTGTGTGTGTGTGTGTGTGTGTGTGTGTCGCCCCTAGCAGTGTCTGACGGGCTTCTCACATTCCCAACCACTGGTCTACACCCATCATTCCCACAACAGCTCATCTCTTCTTTCTGTCTAGAATGATAGCGAGAGCTCTCAATCTGGAGTCTGAAGATTTAGGTTTGAACCCAGCTGGTAAAACAAATTGTGAGATCTCTGGCAAACTGTTTGACTGCCCCGATGTTGGTTTGCTCATCTAGGTAATGAGGATAAAAATAAAGTTTTTTTCTTTTTTCATTGTCAGGGTCAATGTGATATGTGTGAAAGTACCTTGAAAAATGTAAAGGAGATAAAAATGCTGTTCTGTCCTGCTTTGTGAGCAGCCTGGCCTGGTCTTTTCTTCTGCACTGGCTTCCATTCCCTGCGGAGGGCCACACTTTCCTCCTGTACTTTGTCTCCTGTTCTGCACTGATT